GATTTCAAGTACTGCAATCGTATTAACAGCACATTGAACACCACCCTGTCCATTCATTGATGACATTGTGTTAATTGGATCTGGTAAGTGGGAGGCAGCAAACTTTAGTGAGAACATATGACAGAGGAAATATATAAAGCCCATATAAGTCCAGGGCTTGACAAATAGGAGAGGTTCCGACAAGTCCAGTGATCTGGGGATTTTAAGAATATTCTGAGAGACAATTTTCTGTACCTTGCATTGCCTACCATAAAGACAGAGACACATTTCTGTAGGTTGCTCTGACCCATTGATCAAAACCTGTTAGGCTGACTCATTTAAATGGGGTCTGGATCAAGTAAAATTCTCTGGCAGTTCTAGAATGTAGTAGAAGGGGCCCTCCCTCTTGAGTTTGATGACCCATAAGTGTCAATGGCAGGTACGGAAGCTCTAGAGAACCTCTGAAAATCCCTAATGGGAAAATCGCAGTACTGGCTCTTTTTTGTTGATGATTATTCTCCATTTTAAAAGCAGATCCTAGGACTGAGCATCTGACCTTGTGACACATGTAACCAAATGACTATGCAACTTAACTGCTTGTGATGAACTGGTGTTATGGAATCCATCAAACCACAAGATTGGTTGCACATACAGCATTTTATTATTCAACGGAAACGACATTTATAGAGCCGGCTTACAACAAGTCTGGAAGACCTAAGTAAATTTATTTGTGATTAGGATGTGTACATTGAGGAAAATTGCCATTTCTACGTACCCTAAATACAACGACATAGAGCACCTACATTTGATTTTCACTTACCTGTACCAATTTTGAATAGACAACTGAGGGTAAAAGTGACTGTTAGTTATTATTAATCTTTTGAATAGCTTATTCATGAGGACGATATTATCTTTGTGGAACGGTTTTACGTGGTCGAGAAATGGTTTCCTCTTATTAAGCTAAATGACTTTATCCCATTCCTCTCTTACTCTTAGAAACTGAATTCCAACAATATTATTCTAATGAGTGGTATATTTTTTAAAAGATTTTTAAAGAAAATTATTCACTTGTGTTAGAGAGCATGCACACGTGCACAAGCAGGGGAGAGAGGCAGAGAGAGAGGGAGAAGCAGGCTCCCCGCTGAGCTTGGAGCCCGATGCGGGGCTCCATCCCAGGACCCTGGGATCATGACCTGAGCCCAAGGCAGACGCTTAACCTACTGAGCCGCCCAGGCGCCCCAGTACATTCTCTTTTTTTAATTTATTGATATTATTTACTGTTTCTGATTTCTACATTTGTCTTTTTATACAATTTTTTATAATGTCTGATGTACTAGTTAAATGTTTTACTTTTATCATTAAGTCTCTTAAATACTAAACAGCCTTTAGATTTGTTGTTAAAAAAACTAAATTGTTATGTGACAGATTTCATTTTATCATTCTTATTGAACATGCAGATGCCCACATGCATGCATAAGGATGCTTGGAGAAGCTTGTCCTAATGCTTTGTCTCTTTTTATAGACATAAACTGTCTTATACGGAACCCCCTTTAATAACCCAAATATTTTCATGTTTCTAAAAAAACGTTCCCCTCAAATTTGTCACCAACTGTAATTTTGACAGTCCTCCTGGGGTCACATGACTCTGGGTATTCTTAACAGATCAATAGTGATTAATCTCCTTCAAATACCCAGAGTCATCCTGAGTTGTATGCCTGCTGGGTCTTGGAATTGCAGGGAAGAGTGCGATTCAGTATTGAAGGTTGTGTTCTCAGTCATGTGGCACCCACGGGGAATGAAGAGTTGCTTTCAATGAGCTTTTTTTATTTTTATTTTTATTTTTTTTACCTTCAGACTTGCCAGGAGTTAGCATACTTCCAAAGAAATGGCAAAAAGACCAAGCAGTATCTCAGGGTTACAGAAATCTGCTGTATGCTCCTGCCTTCTGGTCTATATTTCAGTGACAGTGTAATAATAGGTCACTGAAATGGAGCCCTACACATTCATAGGCAGCCCCGTAGACCCCCCGAGTATTCATAAGCATGTCAGGTACATTGACAAGAAAGCGGTATGGAGAGCTATGAAAAGAAAAAGCAGGATTCCTTTTAGAAGTTTTGCCTAATTTCTATACCTCAAAGTTTTTCTTCCTGGTGTTTCCTGTTTACGATTATCATTTATATTCACCATGCACGTTTCTAATAGACTCCTACAAGTGTCAGGAAGCTACTGGTGCCCTGGCAGCCTCCTCTGTAAGCCTAAATGTAGACATTCGTTATGAATAAACCTCTTATTGTGTCCTTCTTGCGGTGATTAACCTGTTTCTGTGATTTTCTTCAGGTATCTATTATCACAATGACCTGGGGATGTTTCTGAGAAATAGTCTTACCTTTTCTGCTCTGACAATCAAAACTGTTTTTCATTCATCACAGTGAATTACACCCATCTCTGAATTCCTCTCAGTAATTCTGAATAATGTGTGGAGAATCGAGATATTTGGATCCCACTTATACATGTAGAGGGTGACATAGAGACTCTTTTCACACTGTTTCTATTTTTGAAATATGAACATCACTTTTGTATGCACAAAGATAAGAACCAGAGTCTGAAAAAATAAGTCAGGCAAATGCTGCATTATGGAAGCAGATGATGTTTATTGAAGGCAGAGTTTTCCTGTGTCTCAATTTAGTTAATTATACTTTTTTCCCCCAGAAAACCAAATTAAGTTATTACTAGCCATATATAAGAATAGATCATCTTTTCTATATTGGTCTTCCCCTACAATTTGCCTGTTTGCTTGAAGAATCATGCCAAGGGGGTGGTAACATCTGTGCCCAGGGTGCCCATCCTCAAGCACGTGCTTTCTGCTTGACTTCACACCTCTCCACTCTGGCCACATAGGAATTGGCAAACGACTTACAGGGCACCGTGCTCCGTCACACCTCAATGAGGTCCCCTCATCTCTGGGTCTTGACTCCTCAAATCCTAGCAACCTGGGTAGGTCTCTAATGCCTCCAGCTAGCTCTTATACAATCTATTTCCCCAATATGTTCTAGTTCTTCTCAGTGGGAGGTCTGGTGAGCTACAACTTAATCACTTGCTTTAGGAGAAGGACAATTGCTATTTTGGGGCACAATTTCATTAATTCTCACAGCAACTCTGTCAATCAGATATTATTATTATTTATAGTGTAATGTAAGACAACTGAGGGTTTCTCTCTTTAAATGATTTGCTTGCCCTGTTTTAAGTAATTTGGTGGAGTGACTGGGGTTTGGTCTTAATTGTGTTCTGCGTCCAAGGCACACATACATTTATATTATGTCTCAGGTACTGTATTGGGTGCTTGATGATCATGACAAAGAAACTAACATCTTTTCCATGGTACACAATAATTCTTTGAATTAAAAATTTATTTAAAAAATCATTGTTACAGTATCTATGTCAAATTTATTACTTAGAGCTATCAAGAGTTAAAATAATGGGAATTTATTGGCAGTAGATTGTATTAGTGTTCCTGTTAGTCGGCTTGGGCTGCTATATCAGAAATGCCATAGAAACTATAGAAATCTATTTCCCACAGTTCTGGAGGCTGAAAGTCCAAGATCAAGGCACAATAGTGTGAAGTAAGCATAATTCTTAATATTTGGTAATAACTTATAGTTTCAGGATACCTTGTGAAACAGCATTTTATTTGATACAACAACCGTTCAAGTTTATACTGTATCTCCATTGTGAAGGTAAGGAAATTGAGGCTCAGATATTTATGTAAGTCACTGACAGACATTCAGGAATTAAGTATCAAAATCAGAATTCAAATACAGATTCCATGTACTAGAGATACTTTGCTCCTTCTTAGTTACTCATCGCTCAATTCATGGTAGGAGTAAGGCTTTAAAAGGTTAAATTATATCTCCAAACGCACTCAGTAGATGACAGCTAGAATTCTAATATAAGTCTTTTTTTTTAACTTTTTATTTTTATTTACTTTTTTAAAAGATTTTATTTATTTATTTGAGAGAGAGAATGAGAGACAGAGAGCACGAGAGGGAAGAGGGTCAGAGGGAGAAGCAGACTCCCTGCCGAGCAGGGAGCCCGATGCGGGACTCGATCC